GTGCATGTGATGACTCCTCTGAAGCTCGGCTCGGGGCAATCTCGAGTAGGTCTTACCATATCCCCCTTGTAAAGATGAGGGAACCCCTCCTCTGTAAGATGGGCGTGAAGTGAGCTGCTGGATGCTGGGCAGCTGCCACGCAGAGGAGTGACGGGTCTGAATCCACGTAATGTGGCTCCTGGTCACAAGTCAACGCCATGCCATGCTGCCCTTTGCCGCCACAGCTGTCCTCTCCCCACACCTCTCACAGTTAGATTCTTCCCAGACCTATTGCCCATTTTCTCCCCCTGCTCTCTTGGCCCGTCTCATCTCCTCCCATCTGTCTCTGTCTCCCCTTTCCTTCCTTCCTTCCCTCCTCGTTTACTCTCTTTCATCTCTCTCTCCCCATTCCTGTCTCAGGTAAGCGCGCCATCTCTGATCCCTAAGCTGTGCCGGCCGATTGGGAGGGAGGCAGGAGGAGGGGATCCTGAGTCATTCCGGAGAGCCCTCAGACCCCCTGTGGGGAGAGCCCCATATTCCCCAAGGGCAGCCGGGAGACCTGTTACAACAACAGGTGTGCCAGGAACGTTCCTGCCTCTCTTGCCCAGCACCTTCAGACTCTGAGAGACAAAACTGAACTTGCCAGAACTGTAGGAAACCCCAGGGGGTTTCCTGGGGGCTCCCGGACTCTGCTCCTGGACTCTTACCTCACCCAAAGGTAAGAGAATAAATCAAGCCCCAGGCAGGAGCCCCTGGACCAGCTCCTCTCCGGAATCTAGTTATACCCCAGGAGAAGGCAGAGGACCAAAGAAGCAGAGACCCCAACCCAGTGCCACCAGCAGCCAAAAGGCTCCTAAGCCCCTCAGGGGCTCACGCTTTTCCTGCAAAGGCCACAAGGTCTGCAACACCCAGTGCCGCTGGCATAGTCTGGGGACTGGGCTGTTGTGTTGCGCTGGGAGCACGTAAGCTCAGAGAACTGAGGTCCATGAGGCACCCACGAGAAGCCTTGCATAGGTGTGCAGCCTGGGGGGGTCTAGAGAGGAAGAAATTCATATCGGGGGGAACAGCACAGAATTTTCACCATGTTTCATAAAGGGAAAGGCTGCTGCCCTGGAATAAAAATAATTTGGGAGAGTCCAAAATATTTGAATCCAGCTCTATTTTCCTCCACGGGAAACAGGCTTTAAAAGCTCATTTCTCTCTCTGAGCTGCAGATTTCCTTCCTCCCTGAAACCTGGCCCCAGCCTATTTCTCTTCCTGCTACGGCAGTTGCATAGTAAAGCTCCCTTTGCTCTGCCCCGCACCCTGACGGATGTCCTAAGCAGCAGCACCTGCATTCCCCTTCCTAGGTCTGGCCCTGAGCCCCAGGAGAGGGTCTGGAGGCAAGTTCCAGCAAGGGAGGTCGCCTGTTGCATGAAACAGGTGCAGGTGGTGAAAAGGAGAAACCACAGAAAGAAGTGTGATGTGAAACTCATGTAAGCACCAACCCCAGCCCAGAGTGGAGACCAGTGGAGCCTCAGGGGAGCTCAGCGTGGCTGCAGGAGCAGGTGGGAGCTCAGAGGTGCTGCTAGGCTGGGGGCAGACCAACTGATAAGAGGGGCTATCGCTGGGTAACAAATATGGCAGCAACTGGAGGGAGCTCAAGAGCTATCAATTGGTAGTCTACTTGACTCTTGGAAGTCTCAGAGATCTGGGGGGCAAGAGACTCCTGCCCTTGTTGAAACAAGGCAGTATGAACCCCAGGTGCAGGGATGAGGCTTGTTCAGGGGCTTCTGATCATCTAGCATTCTTGAGCTGTGTGTATATGTGTGTGTGTGTATGATATTTTATCCGATGATTTTCATCTGATGATTTTATCATGATTAAACCAGGCTTGACCAAGTATTTTTCTAGACTAACAGATCTTCACAGCAGCGCATCTTTAGTCATTCATTTTTGGCAGCTATAATTTTAAAGGTAATGCACAGTTGCAGTACAAAGCGTCTGTCCTGAATCTACCCTCACTTGTTGCCAGCGTCCCTAGATGGGCGGTGCTGGGAGTACTCCATGCCAAACATAGTCAGCCGGGCTGTGACGATCACTGACCGCTTTAAGGGAGAAAAGCAACAGTCTCAAAGATGAGACTGCCTAGGCAGGAATTTCACATGGGTTCTGCCTTGGCTCCTGTGCATCTCATGATGTGCTGCGCAGTTTCTGGGGCAAGGCCTGGGAGAAGAGAGATTTCATGATGGGCCATGCAGCACTGTCAAGATTAGAACTGAACTTCTTTCCAAACATGGGACTACCTGGTTCAGCTTCAGGCCAAGGAGCGGGGCATCAGCAGGTGCCATAGTCCATGGGTCCCAGGCCCCTCATTAGGGTATCTCTGACATAGGCCACCAAGGAACGCAGGGAGGAAAGATGGGGTCCCGCGGGCTGGCTGGAGGACAAGAGGGCCATGCCTGGCTACCATATGATGCCCGTCCGTGCACAATGCCACCACCCACGTGGCCTGGGCTGAGGCTCGAGCTGCTGCAGCCTCCAGCTATCCATGCTTGATGCTTCCTGTCTCTCCCTACCCTCGTCTTCTGTGGGGCTGCAGCCCCAAGGAGAACCAGGTCAGGGCCACTCATGCCCTTCACTGAACCGCCACCGTGTCAGGCTCTTCTTGGGAGCCCCTGGGGTACTCCCCAGGTGCATAATCGCTGGCGCCAAGCAGCCACAGCAGCCTGGCCCCGCTGCCTGCTACAAGAAGGCCCTGGCCTCCTCTGTGCTCCCCTGCCCTCGTTTTGGTTCCACACCAGCCACATGTCCACAAGGCCCATGTGGTCTCTTCTTGGAGGCACCTGTGGACCGCTGTGGGACTTCCTGGGCAAAGGGTCTCCCACTCAGCAGGTCAGGACATCTGTTATAGTGACCCCAGCTTTTGTAAGCACAGCACTTCACAGTATAGATCTCTGCCTCGTAGCTGCCCTGGGAAACAGATCAGCCCCCATCCTGGACGGGGACCACGACACAGGCTTAAGCGGGGCCCTGGTGTTGGATCTGGCACGTTCCACCACATGCTGAACTGGGGAAAACCCCCAGCAGGGTCTGCGGTGGGCAGAGGAGGGCTGGGGTCCTCCTAGAAGGCCGGCTCTGCTCTCGGGGGCTTCCAGAGGCCGGCTGCCTGATGCGGAGTCTATCTCATTGTGAGTGAATTAATTGTTGTGCAACCTAGAGCGGTGAGACAAGTTAATTACATAATTACTGCAAAACGACATGTTATTTCAGGGCTGCAATATGGGAACTCTGTTGGAAACAATTGTAATTGCCCAGAAACGGCATTCGAGTGGCTCCGTTATCTCTCGATAACCATGTAATTAACTTGTGTTACAACTTCATCTGCAGTAAACTCTGAAGTTAGGAATTGGGGGCCCAGGGGTGGGGACAGCCCTCCTTGGCCTGAGGGCCCAGGGAGGGTCTGGCACAGGGTAGGGAGTTCTGCTACCAATCAGGAAAATGATTCGCTTTTCCAAGCTGAGGGAGAAAATTCCTCACTACAGACTCCAGTCCTCAAATTTACGCACTCCGACTCGGTCCCCATCTCACACTGCCACACACAGCTCCCCAGTTCGAGTCACATCAGACACATCACACAAAAACCCCACTGCAGCCAGGCCACCTGGCTCTTTGCCACTCTTCTGTCACAGGAGGGGGACACCCCACAGATGAGAACCCCTGCGCCAAGATCCTTGGCCCTAGTGATCCCTGCCCACGGACTGGGCCACCGACCACAAAACCACCATGTGGGGAGGAAGCCTGCTCCCAGGGCCCGAAAGGCCCGGCCATGCTCCCACGTCACTCTCAGTGGAGGAGCAGGCCTGGGGCAGGGTGACACGCAGTTCCCCATCTAGGAGCAGGCAGAGCTGGAAGCAGTGAGCAGGCTCCATCCACCCTGGGCTCTGGGCCAAGTCCAGGGTGAGAACAGTCCCCAGAGAAGGAGGAGCAAGTGGCCTGACAGTGGTGAGGAAGCCTGTCCACACAGCCTTCCCCATCCAGGCTTTGGATCCAAGCAGTCCCTATTTGTCATACCATTCATTGCCCAGTGGGGCATGGAAAATGCCCTGGGCATCTGGCTGGATGGCTGTCCCCGCCTACTCCTGCCTACACACCCGTCCGCTTGTGTGTCCAGGCCTCCTGCCTGCCAGCATGCACATCTGTCTGACTGCGTGTGTCCACTGGATGGGCTGTCTCTGACTCTCCACGGTTGTCACAAGTGGTGGTGGTCCGCGGAAGGCCACTGGCCCGTCACAGGTTTCCCTGTGGGGTTCGTCCCCACTGTGCTGGACTCCGCTTGCTTTCCTGGCTTTCTCCCTCCTTCTCAAGGGCAGGGACTGTGTCCGATCCATGATTCATCCGCATGGCTGGTGCTTGCAGCACGGGGATGAGACAGAGTGGATTAAGGTTTGCTGAATGAATGAATGAAAGCCTCTAGCCTGCGTGGGTTGAATACAGGCCGACAAGATTGTTCTTGGTCACCCAGGAGCGCAGAAAGTCGGGCCCCAGGACAGGCCCAAGCTTCAGGGAGGAGACAGCAAAGGCTGTCCATCACCCTGAAATGGAAGAGGGGTTTGTGAAAGGTATTACCAAAGTAGGAGGCTCGGGATTCGGGGTCTTACTATGGGAACAGGTCAAGGCTGGGTTCCTGGCTGGTGGTCTCAGTGGAGGGAGGCCACACAGGAACCCAGGGAAGGGAGGGTTTCATCTTGCTTCTCTTTATCTTGGGAGCCAGGGTATAGGCTCTTCCAGGAGGAGGGGAGGACACCCCCGGTCCCACCTCTGGCTGTGGGATACATGGGCTTGTCCCCTTCCCTCTAGCTTCTACCCCCTAAAGCCCACCTGGAGCTCCCCTACCCTGCCCATCAACAGCACACACTGGAGCCCCAGGTCCTGCTCTGTGCCCGGCTTTAGGGAGCCCAGGAGAGGGCCCTGTTCCACTCCCAAGCAGAGGAGAGGGACCCCCAGGTCTGTATCAGTCAGGCGATCAATGCACAGTAACCTCCCCGGAAACATTCATAAGTTTAATCCACGCCAGTAATAAAATCGCATTACATTTCTCATAAAATAAATGTTCCCATTTATATACAGAAGACAGACTGTACAGGCCCAGCCTGGCCCCAGGAGGGGTCACACACAGACGGGCAGCAGAGGAAGGGCCGTCCCTCCCATCGAGGACGGAGGAGTTCTAATCGGCAGGAGAGTGGCTGGCCGGCCAGGCGGGTGGGCAGACGGGCAGACGGGCAGACGGGCAGACAGGCAGACGGACAGATGGGCCTGGAGGCCAGGCGCTGGGCATTACTGAACCTGGGATTCAAAGGTGCCATTGAGCTGTCCCTCCTCATAGTCCATCTGACACAAGATCATGTTGTTCTTCAGGAAGAATTTGTCTCCCACACAAAATCTGGAAAATCCAAGCAGGAGAGAGAGGCCATGGAGGGGTCCCAGTGGATGGTGGGTGCTCCAGACAGGCCCCAGCCCAGCCCAGGAGGTAGACATGTGAGAACTGAGGTCCTGGAGAGTTTGTTCCTTCAACTTTCCAGAAGGGATCCCTTAAAGGTCTCATAGCAAACCTGGTCAATCACCCTGGGTCAGCCCAGTCCTCATCTAGGCCCTGTAGTGTGGGGTATAGGACAGACAGATGGACAAGTCTGGGCCATAGTTGGGTCTTCCCTGGAGGGGTGGGGTTGGTGGGAAGCTCTAGGAATATCCTACCCCAGTCCCGGAGAGGGAGAAAGAGAGAGAAGGACAAAGAAACAGAAAAAGACCGAGAGAGAAGACAGGTGGAGAAAGGTAGAAATGGGGGAGGAGGAAGGGGTAAAATGGTTGATTTTTCTATCCTTCTGTTCCTTTTCCCAACTTAAGAGGATGACTCAGTGAAACTCTTCCTTTGAACAGAATCTGTAGGTTTCCTGGAACATCCTTCCAGAAGGAGGTGACCCTGTCCTACCATCTTCCCTCCCACCCAGAGAAGGCCTTGCTTTGCCACCCGCCCACACCCCCCACCCCTCCGTCCTTCTAAAGTATGGGAGGATTAGGCTCTTTCCCCAAAGATGTCCCCAGGGTGGCTAGGCCTTCAGCCAGACCCCTGGGTCATAGGCTCAGTCCCAGAAGATCCCAATCCCACCACCAGGTGGCACTGCAACTTCACCAAGCCCTCTTAGCCTCAGGTCTGTCTGAGCCCCCCTCCCGCCCCTGCCCCCATGATCCCCCTAGGCCTTCCCTATAGATTCCTCTGGACCTCATCCTCTGGGAACACTTGGAGGAGCCCCTTCCTGTCATGGGGGCTCCTGAGAAAAGGGCTTGTCTTCCAGTGTTAGGCCCCCAAGACAGGGCTGAGAGGTTCTGGCCCTTTAGGTCCCTGGGGCCTCCCATGGGGCTGGGACATGGTGTAAGGGTCAGGAAGTGGCTGGGCTGGACCCAGACTCACAGGAGTGAGTAGCTGTTCCCATCAGGGCATTCCCTTCCAGGCACAGGAACTCCTCACTGAAATGTAGAAACATGCACATACGTATGGCCCGGTAGACCCCTGGCACATTTGAACGTGTGCATGTTCATACTCACTTGTCATGTGCGCACAGCACACGCACGCCTGCCCTGTACATGCACGTTTAAAAATCCACACACGCGCATGACACGATGTTCATACACAGTAAGCACGTACATGCGTGACCCATCACACCCACACAGACGTGGGCCCTCCAAACACATACACAACAGTGCCAGAGGGCACACATCCAGCTACGAGGCTCAGGCATACACGAAACACACATATGCACATGCATGCTCATGACCACACGACATGTGAGCCCGTGCATGTTTGCACGCACGTGCCCGCCGTGCGCTGGCCCCGCAGGCAGCAGCTGGGGTCTGCTCTAGGTACGCACTCACCTCTGGTTGCAGAGCTGGCAAGCGAAGCAGTCAAGGTGATACACATTGTCCCGGGCCCGCATCACCATCTCGAAGGCTGGGATCAGCTTGCTACAGGCAGCGCAGTTGCCCGTGGTGCCAAAAAGCCTGCCAGGTGTAGGGTGCAGAGGGCTCAGGGGCTGCTCAGGGTTGGGGGACAGAGGAGCGGCCTCTACCCAGGGCCCTGCAGGGCCCTACTCCTGGGTGCTTGGCAGGTGGGCCTAGGCAAGGGGGAAGGAACACAGAGGGCAGCCTCTGGATTCTGCTAAGAGATTGGGCTTCAGAGAAATCAGTTCAGCCACCCACGGAGGGCAGTGTAGGGGCTCAGGGGTTGGGTGACACTGTCCTTCTCTGGGCTGGACTGACAAGATCCCCCTCCCAGGCTCCCACTGGGGCTGGGCTACTGGGACCTAGGGCCAGTGGAAGAACACTGGGCTGGGCCATGAGCAAGGACTTGAGTCACACAAGCATGAACTCAGGGGCAGTCCACTGGCCCTCAGGCAGGTCCTGGGTCTCTCTGAGCCTCCTTTATTTTGACTATGAAACGGAGACTGAAGAGCATTCTTTGCAGGCTTGTTGTGGAAACTTCGGTTAAGTTCTCAGTCCTGGACCACTTAGTGAATGCCTCTACTGAGTGTGTTTGCCACGTGCCAGGCTGTGTTCTGAGGGCTGTACGGAGATCAACTCATTTAATTCGACAACAACCCTGTGGGGTGGTCTTTTTCAGCAACCAACTCACTGGGTGACTTGCCTAAATTCCTTTTTCCTCTTCCTGGATCTCAGCATAACCTTTTTCAAAAGGGGGTTCTGGACTAGGTGATCCTGCTCAAAGATGCTTCTAAAAAAGGACAAATGCCCAAAGAAAGTTCCAAGGCCATCTGGCCCAAGGCCTCTTTCACACAGGCATTCCCTCCTCCTAGCTGCTGGTTGCAGAGCTTTGGGATGGGGCGCTCACTTTCTCTCCATGTAGGCAAGTCTTGGGCCAGGTATCCCAATGGTTGAAGCCCCCACCCAGGCTCCCCTTTGCTTCTTTTCTGCACACCGGCTGAGCAAGTCCCAAGTGAGGCAAGGGGGCTGAGAGGCAGGCGAGAGACCCCCTAATCCCTGATTTGTCCAGCGCAAGCCCAGGCGCCTGCTGCTCAAGCTTGGCTCCATTATTCATCAGCCTGAGCTGCCTGGTGGCTCAGATTAAGGAAGACAAAGACTGGGCTGCAACATCTGCCTGCCAAGGGGGGGCCTCACTGCCCCCAGTGGCTGCAGGGGGGCAGCCTTCGGAGAGGCCTCTCTGGGGAGGAGCTGCCCCAGGAAGCCCCAGCCCCGCCCCAGCCCACTGACCTACCTGGCCCCAAAGCCATTCCTTGGCCTCTGCCAGAGCCCAGAAACAATACCTTCAGCTCCAGTAGGTGGCAGGGCTCAGAATGCGTGTGGGTGCTTAGACTCTGCTGAGGAGTCCATCCTACACTGTGGCCTCTGCCGCCCAGGTCCCGGGGACCCCTGTGTTGGTATGCCAACTCTCCTCAACCTGGGAGGTCCAGCCCCCCGGGGCTGTCCGAAATCTTCCAACTTGGAGGTCATCGAGGAGGGAGTCCCCAGAAATATCCTTCCTTAGCCCCTCCTCCTGGCCTCAGCCCTTTCCTCCAGCCCAGCAAGGAGCACTGAGTCACACAGGTCCTAGATTATTGTGATACTTAAAAAACTTCTGGCTGAAGGCAGAAGTTCAAAGAGGAGGTGCAGGCAGGTAAACCCTAGGCTCTTCCTGAAAGTAAGGCAGCATCTGCTGATAACCCTGCCCACTACCATGGCCCAGACCTGAGCAGTGGGAGGCCCACCGTGAAGTCCTTGCCTGACCTATTAATTAATGCAATGGGCCTTCCTTCCTCGCAAGGCCCGGCCTCGGCCACCCAGCCAAATGTAGATGCTGGGTCTCAGCCAAGGCCCCCGCTTTGTGGCCTCCTTCCAGCCTTGCTGATGTCATAAATGGCCTAAGGGAGGGTTAATTGGGGGAGACAGCCCCAGGGAATAGGATCTAGGTTGTGGGGGGAGGGCGGGTTAGAGCTCCAAGGAATGCGAGCTGGGGAAGCTTTCGTCTTCATAATTAACTATTCACGGAGGGACAAACTGCTGCTTGGAGAAGGTCAGAAGCTAGAGGGTTCAGAGCTAGTTCAAACCCAGGTCTTTAAGCTCCAACATCAGTGGTCCTTCTCCCAGGGTCTGGCTACCTGCCAGATGCCCCAGGCACCCAGGTGTCTAATGCCAGGGCCCGCTGGGCACAGGGAAGAGGAGGCAAGGAGACTTCACCAGGCAGGAGGGGCCCAGGGAAGTCAAAGCTTGACCACCTGGTCCTGGAAGGCCTCTGAGGTGTCTCCTCCCAGATTCCAGGGACAGGGTGGGTCAGAAGCACCTGACAAAGACAGGCAGAGCCAGGCTGGTACCCTTGGGAAACTTATCTCAGGTGTCCCACGGTCACAAAGGCTGGCTCAGGCCCTGTGCTGGGCGCTGAGCCAAGCAGCTGACAGTGTGGCTCTGCCTTTGGGGCTCTGTGGACATCTGGGGGAGCAGGGCCGGGCCAGGATGGTCAGGGATGAGCACTCGGGGCCTGGGTCTAGAGGCAGGGGCAGAGCCACGCAGGGCCTGGGGGTGGGGTGGGGGGCTGGGGCCGGCGGGAGGCGCACCTCAGGTAGTCGCGCCGGCACAGAATGAGGTTGGCCTTGGTGTAGAGGGTGGAGCCCACCTCGCCCAGGCGGCAGTCGCAGCAGGCACACTTGAGGCAGTCCTCATGCCAGTACTTGTCCAGTGCCTTCAGCAGGTAGCGGTCCTTGATCTTGCGGTTGCAGCCCGCACAGCCCTTCTGCTTGCCTTTGGGCTGGACGGAGAGCATGGGCACGCCTGTGGATGGATGGACAACAGATGGACCGACACGGTATTGACTCTGTGGCTCCAGGGCTCGGGCCCATCCCCTCGAGGAATGGGAGCCCACTGCTTCTACCTGTTGCCCCCTCCAGGGTGGGGACTCCCAGAGTCCTCACTTGTTCCCCAGCAAGCACGCCCCCACCGACCCTGACCCCGGGGTCCTGTCCTTTGAGCCACACGGCACAGGCTGTTCCCCCTGCCTGCAGAGGTCCCTCCAGAAGCTGCAGGCAGCCTGCGGAACCCCACATCAGCCTGGTTGCACAGCACACATGTGGCCGCAAGGCCTAGCCCCGGAGCTGTTTGTCCCCATCTGGCCACAGCCTCCTGCGCGGTCTGCTTGTCAGGAGGCCTGAACTCTCCTCATGCAGCCCCATCTGCCTGGCTCTTCCGGCAGCCCCAAGAACTGAATCTCACAGTGGACTTGGGTCCACTGCGACTCCCAGATCTTTTAGCTACCTCAAGACTTGTACCTGGGACCCTTTCACCCTCAATCAGCCTACAGACTCTTGGTTCACTCCTGTGGAACTGTGGTGGTATCAGGAAGAGTGTGGGATACCCCACGACACTCCCAGTGGGGAGCAGGAGCCCTGGGGGTCCCCGCGGATGGAGCAGGGAGACAGCAGGGCCTGGCCTCCTCTGGGCTCTCCTCAGCAATGCTTCCAGCTAGATTCAAACTTCCTACCTGCCCTGGCCTGAGGCTGGGGAGGTTCTGAGTCTCTGAACCCTTGCTCAGCCCACCAGGACACAGTCTCTGAACCATGGGGTTCCCCCCACCCCACCCCCAGGGCCCATGCATGCCTCTCAACATACAAGAAAAACTACAAAAGCTAGGAATTTCAGCATGGAGTTTACTGGAAGGAGAAGGTGAGCTCCCAGCAGGTAAGTATGTGCACTCACGCACACCCCATGCACACAGGCCTAGCGTGTAGGCACGTGCGTGCGTGTGCACAGAGACTCAGGCTCCTAGCCCCAGGCCACGGGGGCACAAGCAGTGACCGCAGGGAGTAACAGCAAGGAGGAGGTGGGGACAGAGGTCATCCTGAGTCTGGACATCCAACACGGAGCCCTGAGGCATGACTGTGGTAAAGACTGATTAGAGTGAAATGCAGGGAGTCTCAGAGTCGAGACCCAGGACTGGGGCAGGTGTGGGGCACCTGTACGAGCTGCCTGAGAACCCCTCATGAAGACGGTGGGGGTGGCGGTGCACCTTCCCTGACCAAGGCTCAGGAGCACAGAGGAGTCCCCTCTGGAGGGAAGAGCCCACCCTTTCCTGCCTCCCTGACTCTCCACCAAGCCCATGAAGTTTGCCCTCCTCCTGGCCCCAACCTCTCCAAGGGACCCCAGCACTCTCTAGGGTACCTGGGTTCAGTTCCCTCTCCCTGGTATCCCTCTTATCCTCCTATCCCTGCCTCCACTCACTGCCCTCAGCCCAGAGTTGGAGTGGCTTCCTTCCCCTTCCCTCTTCCTGGTGTCTGACCCTTCCTCAGACTTGAGAAAATAAGCAGCCTCCACGAGACCTCAGCCTTAGAATCCACAGATGTCAGGCCAGAAGGGCCCTCTGAGCTCTTCCAGGCAAATGCTCCAAGGAATGGTGGGGAAACTGAGGCACAGGTCTGAAGGTAAGGTCTAGTATAAGCCACTCATCATCCAGCAGGCTCCGGGGGTCCTCCCTGCTGCTGTGCTTTGCTGCCTCTTCAGACCTCTCTTGGGTGGCCTTCTAGGGCCCAGGAGCAGGACAGGTGACAGCAGAGGGGACGCCACACTGACTGGCAGTGGACTCTCCTTCCTCCTTCCTCCAGTCCCTGCAGGGCCTGTTAGCTGGTATGCCTGCTGCCTAATTTCCTTAATGCAGCTCTAAAGGTTAATTGGTCTGAGAGTGATGAGGCTGAGGATGACTATGTCCTCAGGCCTGCCTGTGTCTCCTCTGCCAGGGTCCAGTCTGGTCACAGAGCACTGAGGAGGCCGCGGGAGCCAGCTGGGGAGCAGGCAGCCCTGAGAGCTAAGGGAGCTCTGAAGAGTTCCTTCCAAGGCCAGACCTACAGGGTGAGGGAAAATGGGGGAGGGGTATGGAGAGCTGGATGTGAGGAGGTCTTTGGAATGACTGTCCCTGGGTCCTGTGGAGGGAATACCCAGCCAGCACAGCTATAAGTACACACTCACCAACTTGCAAAATCTCAGGCCGGGTCTCTAGGATAGTCCCACCAAGGCTGGTTTTCCCCTTACGACGGGGACAGGCAGCAGCTCGAGCCCCCCTCCCCAAGAGAGGTCTGGCATGGCTCCTGGACAGGCTGGCCTTTAGAGCTGAGGCTCCAGCACGCCTAGCTGCAGAGCCTACGGAGCTGTGATCTGTAGCACTAGCTGGGCCTGGAACTGACAGGACCCAGGAAGGCCGTGAGGAGCAAAGCCACAAGCCAGCCCAGGTCCTCTGCACCCTGCCCATGCTTGGGCTGGCTCTGGCCCACGGCAGGGCTCCATAAGGCCTGGGAACTCTGTTTCCTGGGCCCTGGAGAACTCTTAAGAAGCCACAAGGCTTCTGCCAAACAGTGTCTGACGTTCAGAACAGTGTCCGACACACACAACTCCAGCCTGGCTAAGGAGCTCCCAGAACATACAGGGACCTTGGGCTTTCTCTGCCTAGAAAGGCTGAGGTCCTGGGAGAAGTATGACTCACTCCTTCCTTCTTTACCGAGCACCCACACTGTGTTTGCTCTCTCATAGGGCTAGTTCAGCAGACCTGAAAACACTCCTGAAAAGGCAAAGAGGTTTAAAGGGGGCATCTCTCCTGTTCCCCAAATGGAGTGAGATGTTCCCCAGAGGGTCAAGGCTTGCCCTCACCACCCTGCCTCCCCAACCCCCAGCCAGCCCGCCAGTCAGCCCTGCAGACACCTCTTCCCTCCCTCCCTTCCCTGCCTGGCTCTGGGAGCTGAGCCTCGGGCCATGCACTTTCCATTAAGGAGATAGCATCCCTTTGCTGAAGTCCATTTGGGATCCATTTTAGTGTTATCTAAAAATCAAATCTACATGGTAATCCTTTTAATGTACTCCTGACTTTAGAAAAAAAACAGCTTTGCGCTCCTTCAGGAAAGGTTTTAAAGCATTACCCAGTAATTACTACTCACCCATGAAAACACTGATATTTTACAATGGATGATGTTTGAGCCTGCCCGCATGCATGGGCACACGCTCAGACACACGCGGGACCCAACAAAATAAACCAGTTCATATAGTCCATGTGTTACCCCTACATCTCAGGGTGTGGGGGGGATGCCATTCGAGGGGAGGCAGGCCAAACCCCAGCCCGCCTCTATGCCAGGCAGGCTGATAGGAGAAGGAGGCAGCCTCCGGGTCTGACTCATTGGCTGCCAGACACTTACCCTTGGCTCTTTAATCTGGGGAAAAGCCAGACAGTCCCAGTGACCAGGAGGGACTGCCAGAGGTCATTCAGCTCTTCCTGTACCCACTCTCCAGCCAGGAGAGAAGCCCTTCTCTTCACTTGGACCCCCCAGGGGTCTGCCACGTCAGATTCAAGTAAGTCCCCAGTAATCCCTGCCCAGCTATCCCAGGCCAAGCTGCCCCACCCCCATATCGGGTATGTGAACTTCTCCAAACTGCCAAGCCCACCAGCTCCCAGTTCCCCTGATGCCTCCCTCCAGCTTGGACAGCAGGCTTAGCCCAACTGGGGAGCACTCCTGCTACTTCCCACAAGCTCCTCCAAAGCCAGTCCTCCACCTGCCAAAGCCCAGCCCACCCAGCCCTGGGTCACTCCCAGCTATGCCCTGCGCCACTGCGGCCACTGCTGGCAACTCCAGCTGGCATCAGAGACCCCCTCCCACATGCTAGCTTGTCCTGCTTGGCACTGCGGGATCTGGTCCCTGCAGAATCCTAGAATAATATCCCTCTCCAACCTGCATATGGACCTGGTCTGCTTCTATCCCAGCACCTTCCCTCCACCACGGCTCCAGGAAGAAATACCTTGCCCTATGCATCCCACCTGCCACCCAAAGTCAGAATCAGCAGTGGCTGTGAGGTGCAGGGCACAGAGCTTGAAGTCAGAAAGCCTATTTTCCAGCCTGAGCACTGTCCCAAGGAGCTCGAGGGCCTGGCGCAAATCCCCCATCTTTCTGACTTGCTTCTGTGAAATGGGGAGCCAAAAAGATGGTGGCGAGGACAGAACAAGGTCACGCATACTGAGGCACGGCAGAATCTGGCTTCCAGGGGGGACTGACACGAAAACTGGGGAGTGTTCTTAATATGCGTCCCAGGATGCCCTCCCCCTGTTCTGACCCTTGTTTCCTTCAACTTTTTATCTTGACACAATTTCAAGCATTCAGAGAAGTTGCAAAATAGAAAAAATTCCTGTCCACTTTTTGCCTAGATTCCCTAAATAGGAACATTTTACCATATTTGCTTTATCCTTCTCTATACAGCTACCTAGGATTTTTTTCCCTGACTCATTTGCGAGTTGGGTTCAGACAGGAAGGCTCACACTCCTAAATACTTTGATGTGTTTTTCCTAAAAGCAGGGACATTCTCTCACGTAGCCACAATACAATTAACACAACCAGGAAATTATCCTTGATCTAACACTATTACTTGCGGACTTCATTCAGATCTGACCGATTCCCCCAATAATACCCTTTATGGCAAACTAACATTCTGGATCCTGCATCGCTTTCACTTGTTAGGTTTAGTCTGTTTAAATGTGGAAGAATTCCCAAACCTCTCTTTGTGTTTCAAGACACTAGCATTTTGAAGAGCCCAGGCCGACTACGAAGTACCCTTCAGTTTGGGTTTGTGACGCCTTTGACGGTGTGACTTTAATTCCTCTGTACTTCAGTTTTCTTTGTTGTCAAATGAGTATGAAAACAGTCCGCATCTCACAGAGATGCCGTGAGGAATCAGGGAGCCAGTCTCTGCCAAGTGCTTAGGACTGACGGGACCGGCAATCAAAGGTTAGCCCTGATCAGTGTCACTTT